TTAATATATATATATATATATATATATATATATATAATATAGATTGATTGATTATGTGCGTACCTTGCCGTGTAGCTGTATTTATGAATCTGTTAGTTTGTAGGCATGTTGGTAGTATCTACATATCTATGTGGTATCAGTTTATGATTGTTATCGTATATGAATATGAACAAGGCTATTGTTTGTATGGGTAATGGACAGGGGAATCCTTTGATGGCTGAATTATTGAGACGCCATTGCGCAGCAAAAAGCGTTTTTACAGCCAAGTCAGATACATTAGACTGCCCCTCGCGTATTTCGCACTAATTTCATAATTAATTCACACTACTTTCACTCTTCTATTCAGAATAGATATACCAAGGAGTGTACGCTATCTCTGCACTAGAAACAAACCAATTTTTGGTTAAATAGAAACCTACCGCTAGTCACCTTCCGGCCAGGACAATTTCCTGAGCACGGCTAAATGGCAAAGGGTATCCAGAAATCCAAAAGACAAACTTAACCACACTAGTTCCGAACTAATCTCATAAGTGCGAATTTGCACTTATTTCAATTGATGTAAAACTTGTACACAGCCCGGCCAGGCGAGTCCTAAAAGCAGGCTAACTCAGAGGACAACTACACAAGTATACCCAGAAACACCGAAGGACACCAAAATATCAAACTAATTGTATGAATATTAATTCACACAGATACATAGCCCTCTAAATTATACAAGGGCTATGACAAGTTTCATATTAATTCACACAAATATCACCTGACCTTGTATTTAGACACAACTCGGCCAGGCGAATCCTTAAGTGCAGGTGCGCTTAAGGCGCGGCTTCATAGTGTGGGTATCTATTTACACAGCCCAAAATAGGCACGTGCCCGAATTATATCACGCGATTGAATTCGCATTAATTCGCATTAATTCGCATTAATTTCAACTGCTATGGTACTTCAATACAGCGTGACCAAGCGAATCCCTGGTTGTAGGTTCACTTCAAACCACGGCTACATAACATGGGTAGCCAGAGCACCTCGCTCCGAAATAAATACTAGTTCCAAACTAAATCCATAACATTAAATCCGCATTAATTTAATGAGAATTAGTAGGCGCTAATTCCAACTGAAATGTCATTTCTATACAGCCCGGCCAGGCGAATCCTTGGTCGCAGGTTCGCTCAAGGCACGCTAGGATAGGCAAGGGTATTCAGAACACACAACCGAAGAGTGTGCGCATGCATCTGCATGCAATAACTGGAACATGGCCTATTCCAGAGGGGTACTGGATTGATGGGGATACCACGAGTGAGAACTTACCCATAAGAAGGTATATGTATCAACTTATACGCAGTAGGTGTGTATGTGCATACCTACAATCACACACACACACACAGAGACATATATATATATATATATATATATATGCACTTGTGGATATATGTGTACGTTGGTTGTCACGCGGCGAAGGCGTCTGTCGGCACTACACCGCTGGTTTCTTCCTGAGTGTCACTTGGTTCGTAGGGATTTAATTAGTGGTAACTTGCACACAAAAAGGTACATGCCTATACGTCCACACTAAATAGATGTGTATGGGTGTGCGTGTATGTATACACATACGTGTATACATTGTACGTCTGTAGAGTAGGAATAAGCTGTCTCACGTGAACCACAAATTGCTTCACTGTCCTTGCAGGGCGTGTTCGATACAGTTCTCGACCAAGCCCGTCAAGTGGCAAGTAGAAGAGTACTTCTTTGACAAGTACGCAATAGACTCGTTTGTGTACACAGACACTATATTGGAGATGAACAACCCCGATGTCTGCTACCAGGTGAGTATGTGTGTACGTACGTTCAGGTGCACACACATCACATGTACAGTCACACAGACGCTGGACATTCACATCACATCCACAGTCATGTAGGTAGACATACACATCGCTCGTGGTGTGGCCTCAGATGCATTGGTATATAGGTTGTGGAAGTACTTACATGCATTTACACACGTATGCAGATGGTTGAGTCATAATGGTATTAGCGTATGATCAGATATGTCTGTGCACGACCATGGCAGTGCACAAAGGTATACGTTAATACGCGCACAGTATAGAAATACATACAACGCAGATATATCCACCCGCAAGCCCTAGGAGCACGCACAAACATATGTGCACCCACTCACAGCCACACAAACGAACACACCAGCGGTACAAGCCAGAACAGCGGCAGTGAGTGATGCATGTTCCGAGACATTGTCATATAGGCCGTGGCAGTGCTTACGAACATATACACTCGTGTAGGTATACGCATACGAATACGCACACGCAGGCATATAGTGCGTCCGTTTAGGTATTTGAATCATTATAGCGTGTTGTGTGTGTCAATTTTCGCTTAAACCTTTTCTGAACACCTAATGCAAGCCATATAATAGTCACATCTCAATAGCTATGTACTATATATATATATATATATATATATATATCCACACGCTTATCTACGCATACATGGTTTCCATGGCAAAGACCACGCTATTAATAGCAATTCTTTTTCCTTCTGCCCGACTGTACAGGTGTTTGTACACAACAGCGCCCAAACCGAAGGAATTGGATATCCCTTTGGGTTTCTGAAACCGTCTTCCAAAAACGATTTGGTGAACTTGTTCGTAATGCCTTATAACTACCCGGCACTTTTCTCCATCGTTGACAAGTGCAAGAAAAACCCTAACGCCACCCCCATGGTGAGTCTTATATTGTCTGATATAAACACAGAGAAGCTCTTCTACCTATCGCGTGTATTTTTACAATTATTTATATGATA